CTAATCCTCCACCCGCGGCTCTGGTATTCCAGGTGACAGTCCCAGTTGGGGTGCCAGTTCTGACCCGGTTGCTCCTATTCCAGTCCAGCTCTCAGCTGTGGCCTGGGAAGGCAGTGGAGGATGGCCCAAGTGCTTGGGCCCTGCACCCACATGGGAGACCAGGAGGAAGTGCCTGTCTCCTAGCTTTGGATCAGCACAGCATGCTGACCATAGCAGCCATTTGGGGGGTGAACCAATGGAAGGAAGACATTTCTCTCTGTCTCTCTCTCTCGCACTAGCTCTGCCTGTCAAAAAAAGAAAAAAAGAGATAATATGTAGCTAAGATTCACCACAAACCCCAGACACTTAAGTGAAGCCTCAATCAGTTCCCCAAATGGCTAAACTCTCATTTCTGCTCCTGGACTGATCATAGGAACTGCCCAGCTGAGTACAGCCCATAACACAGAGTCTGAACTGCAAATCAAATGGCTATTTGTTAAGCCATTGTGTTTTCTGATTTGTCCTACATCAAATGCTGATATATATCAGTAAGTATGGCAGAAAGTTGAATTACATGCAAACTACAATGCATACAACTTCAAAATTTCATTTGGAAGTTCCCATAAAGCAGGGCCAGCATTGTCACATAGCAAGTAAACCTGCTGTCTGCAATACAACCACCCCATATGAGCACTGGTTCATGTTCTGACTGTTCTGCTTTTGATCTAGCTTCCTGCTGATGGCCTGAGAAAAGCAATGGAAGATGATCCAAATACTTGGGCAAATGCTACCAATGTGGGAGATCCAGATGAAGATCTTGGTTCCTGGCCTCATTCTTTCCTGGCCCTGCTCAATGCAGCCATCTGTGATGTGAACAAGCAGAAGGAAGATCTCTCTGGGTCTCTCCTTTATATACAATATTTTCAAATAAATTTTTTAAAAAAACTTAGAAAAAAGCTCCTATAAACACAATCTTTGCCTATCAATTAGACCTTAGAAAAGCTGCTGATACTAAAAAAAAAAAAAAAAAAAAAAGTCCTGGGATTCATAAAAATAAATTATCTGGAGACCATAAGGTTGTTCTTCACATTTCGGCTTATATATGGTCATTGTGTTCTTTTGGTTTATATTTTAAGAAGCTTATTATCATATGAAATCTAATTTAATATCATCTTACTATCTCAGAAGGCAGGATAAAGGTTCACAGTAATTTTCTGTAGCTGCATGTATACTGCATATTATTCAAGAAGAAATTACTGAAAGGGGGAAAATTTTTATGATATGCTTTTTTTTAAAAGATGTATTTATTTATGTGAAAGTCAAATTTATGCAGAGAGAGAGAGAGAGAGAGCAAGTGGGAGAGATCTTCCATCTGATGGCTCACTCTGCAAATGGCTGAAATGGCTGGAGCTGCACCAACCAAAGCCAGGACCCAGGAGCTTCTTCCAGGTCTCCCACATGGGTGCAGGGACCCAAGGACTTGAGCCATCTTCTACTGCTTTCCCAGGCCATAGCAGAGAGCTGGATCAGAAGTGGAGCAGCTGAGTCTTGAACCTGTGCCAATATGAGATGTGGGTACTTCAGGCCAGGGCATTAACCCACTGTGCCACAGCACCAGCCTCATGATATGCTTTTTGAAGTCATACACTCCAAACATAGCATTAGTAGCAAAAGGGAAGACATGCTCATGAAAGCTTTCTAAAACAGTACTATTTGAACTGGTGACAATTTCTGAAATGGATCTGAAAAATAAATGTTTTTTAATTAAGTGTGGCAAGATAGAGAACATTAGGCAGAAGTTAAGGTGCTGGGTATTTACAAATCATGTGACACTACACAAAGCACTTTTCTCCTGAAATACAATTTTTTCATCTTTTTTTTACAGAGATCCTGGTGAAACTTCCTTGAGCTACCAGGAAGGACTATTAGAATAGAGGGGGCAGGAGTCCTCCAAGATGGTGGAATAGGGAGGGAGCACACTGACAGTCCAGGAAAAGATAGTTTAATAAAAGTGGAGATACTGTAGTTTCAGGGAAGAGTTAGGGGAAAAAACTGCAGAAGGAACTCTTCCAGAACTAGTGGGACATGGTGGACCCATGTGGAGGGTACGGGTGCCCATGGCTCAGGACCCAAGCTGCTGAGTCTACACGCCAGTGCTGGAAAGGGAGGTGAGGCAAAACCTCAGTAGCCCAAGACACTGGCAGGGAAGTCGCAGGAAGAGCCTAGAGGGAATGAGGCTTAAAGCCCTGTGGGGGAAAGACCACTAGGCTAACTAAAAGACTGAAATAAAATAAATAAAATAAAATAAAATAAAATAAAAGGGACCAGTATGGACATGATTCTCTCTCTCCACTCACCTTACAAAGGTGAGCAAGACAAAGAGCAGGCACCATTTTGGACATATGTAAAACCTGTGCCACCTCAGGGCTGTGCCCACCCTCAGCCAAGCAGAAAAACCTGACTCTGGTGCAAGAAATAAAAGGAGGTTAGGACCTAGTGATGTGTGGGAGCTTATGAACTGTGACTGTGAAAAAAAAAATTGAGGGTGTATGAGAGAACTCATGGAGTGCCTGAGATGTGAGTTCTCTTGGGAGACACTGCAAACTTGCTAACCTTGGCATCCTGGTGGAAGACTGCAGGGGAATCTGAGCTTACACTGAGGACTGCATAGATCCTTTGTGTGGTCCTTGGGACAGAGCAGACGAATATTATACCCACAGGGGCCATAGTTCAGACACTGACTGCCTTCAATTCCACTCAGCTGTGAGGAATTACTTCCCTTCTTAACAAACAAACAAAAAAAAAAAAGAGAGAGAAAAAAAAATTTAATAAACCTAACCTTGGTGTGTCACCCTTAACCCTGAAGAATCAAACAGAGTTCTCTGGCCACACCCATCACAAGCCTCTAAGGACCCATCAAAAGCAGACAGTACACTTAATCGAGTCATAGTATAACAAGAAAAACCACAACAGCAAAAAAAAAAAGAAGAAGAAGAAGAAAACCAAAGAATATCTCCATAATGCCAAGCAACAAATGCAGAAACTGAGTAAACAAGAACAAGGAAGACATTATGATGCCCCCAAATGAACAAGACACCCCAAGCCAAGATTACAAAGGTGATGAGATAGAAGAAATGCAAGATACGGATTTCCAAAAATATATGATAAGAACACTTAGAAGTTTTCAAAAACAAATTCTTGAACTACAGAAATCCTTACTGGACAGGGTAGAAAATCACTCTCATGAAAATGAAATCTTAAGGAAAAATCAAAATTAAATGAAGCAATTAGTAGAACATGAAATTGTGATAGTGAAGAGAAATCCAAATGAAGGAAGAGCTCAATAGATCAAATGACAAATGCATTTGAGAGCCTTAAAAACAGAATCAGTAAAGCAGAAGAGAGAATACCGGACTTAGAAGACAGAGCACAGGAAAGCATACAGTCAAACCAAAGAAAAGAATAGGAAATTAGAAATCTAAAAAATATTGTTGGGAATCTACAGGATACTATTAAAAAACCCAACATTCAGGTTCTAGGAGTTCCTGAAGGCATGGAGAGAGAGAAAGGCCATTTTAGTGAGATACTAGCAGGAAACTTCCTGAATTTGGAGAAGGACAGAAACATCCTAGTACAGGAAGCTCATAGAAGCCCTAATAAACATGACCAAAAGAGATTCTCGACATGACACGTTGTAATCAAACTCACTACAGTGAAACATAAACAAAAGATTCTAAAATGCGCAAGAGAGAAATGTCAGATTACTCTCAGAGGATCTCCAATTAGACTCACAGCTGACTTCTCATGAGAAACCCTACAGGTTAGGAGGGAATGGCAAGATATAGCCCAGGTGCTAAGAGAGAAAAACTGCCAGCCCAGAATATTATCTCCTGCAAAGCTCTCCTTTGTGAATGAAGGTGAAATAAAGACCTTTCATAACAAACAGAAATTGAAAGAATTTGTCACCACTCGTCCAGCCCTGCAAAAGATGCTTAAAGATGTGTTACACACAGAAACACGGCCATAAATATGAAAAAAGGTAAAGGAAGAAAATCTCCCAGTAAAAGATCACAGGAAGTTCAAAGCATATATTAGAAATATCTTTGGGAAAATGGCAGGGCAAAGTCACTACTTATCAATAGTCACATTGAATGTTAATGGACTCAAATCTCCTGTTAAAAGACACGGATTGGCTGATTGGGTTAAGGAAGAAAAACCATCTATTTGCTGCCTACAAGAAACACATCTTTCCAACAAAGATGCATACAGACTGAAAGTAAAAGATTGAAAAAATGTATTCCATGCCAACAGAAACCAACAAAAGCAGATATAGAGATATTATCAGACAAAATAAACTTTAATACAAAAACTGTTAAGAGAGACAAAGAGGGGCACTATATAATGATTAAGGGAACAATTCAACAGGAAGATGTAACTATTATAAATGTATATTCACCTAATTATAGGGCACCGGTCTATTTAAAAGATATGTTTAGAGACTTAAAGGGAGACTTAGATTCCAATACAATAGTACTAGGAGATTTCAATACTCCACTCTCAGAAATAGATCATCCGGACAGAAGATCAACAAGGAAATAGCAGATTTAATTGACACTATTGCCCAAATGGATCTAACAGATATCTACTGTACTTTCAATCCTACATCTAAACACTTTACATTCTTCTCAGCAGTGCATGGAACCTTCTCTAGGATTGATCACATACTAGGCCATAAAGCAAGTCTCAGCAAATTTAAAAGAATTAGAATCATACCATGCAGCTTCTCAGACCACAGCAGAATGAAGCTGGAAATTAGCAACTCAGGAGACCCTAGAAAGTATGCAAACACATGTAGACTGAACAACATGCCCCTGAATGAACACTGGGTCATTCAAGAAATCAAAAGAGAAATCAAAAACT